AACCGAACTCCTCTCGCGGCTCCCCGCCAAGTCCATTCACCAAGTGCGTCTCCAAGCTACCTCATCTCCCACTGCAAGAGCTAGCTGATAATGTATTGTTGGATCACTTTTGCTATGCAAGTAAAAGTCTCCTATCTATATATCTATCACTGATCCTATCGAAATGTGTGTGTTTGCAGGATGAACCGGAATTCAATCCACCGATCGATGTCGGAGGTGGTGGAGGCGTTGGTCCGGCTTGTACAGAGGGCCAACATGACCAAGTGGATGCTTGACGGAGAGAGCTCCCGGCAAGGTGACGACCAGGACCATGATTTCATATGATGCAAGCGAGCGAAACCCTTGCATTGCATTTGAGATTGTATTATTTTTTACATATTTCTTGTAGCGCGTAGTTCGAGAAAAAAGTAGAAGAACAAAGTAGAGATAGTGTCTTGTTCCATCAGTACATATCACACAGGTTTTGCTTGATATTCCCAAGTAAAGGTGTTGTTTGTGGGTGTTGCTTGAAGAACACGTCGCTTGTCCCGAGCATTGTCGTGCAGTTATATTACACAAACACCCACAAGCTAACTAGTCAACCAGCGCACAGATGTCTGAGATTATAATATTTGTCAAGAAGAACAAGAAATCAGACCCCGCAAAAAAACAAGAAACCAGTTTAAAATTAATGGACCAGGAAAAGAAAAGCAAGCAACATTGTCCTCAATAGGCGCGCGTAATCTGAAACCAAAAGCAAAAGATTCTTCCCTAGAAAAGACCGGAAGTTCAAAACAACCTCCACGCAACAAGAACTTGATCAGAAAAGCATCTAAAAGTTTTTTTTTCTTTTTTTAGATACATCCAAAAGTAAATGAAGCCCACACAATATGGGTCGGGCTAGCAATAGAACAGCAGACGACAAAAATACGGAACAGACTCGGTGTACTGAAGGACATAAGATGAGAACAGGGGAGTATCCAAATGGGGAATTTGAGGATTTGCCACACCTTATTTTGCAGTTTGAGGATTTGCCCCTATTTTGGCTGTAACCTAGAATTTGTCACATCTTTGCTGAAAGATTGAGGATTTGCCCCTGATGTATTGTTTGGATCATTTGGCACATTATAGTACAAATTCGGTGACCAAAATACCCCCAACCCAATCTGTTTTAGTTATCCTCATCAATCGGGCATGAGCTCGTTGTTCCCGTACTCTGTTCGCCCTGTCGGCTGGCTACCACGCAACGTCGGCGGCGTGCAACCTCACCGTGGCTACACCGGCATTGGCAGTCTCCCCCGAGTTCCTGCTGTGCCTCCCCGAGCTTGCTGATGACGCATCGTGTTGTGCCTTGTTTTAGTGTGCATTTGTTCTAACTTGTGAACTAGTAAGGGCTAATGTACCTTCTGATGTCACTAAAAAATGCAAATGTAATTTGTGATGTTGTGAACTAAGAAGTGTGAATGTACTTTGTGATTAAAAGAAAAGGTGATGAAACTTTCCCAGAAGAATACTCACTGTTTTTTTTTCAGTATGTCTTCAGTCTGTATGTTCACTATGAAGTGTGAATGTAATCTCTGATTTTTTTTAGATTTTCTCCATACGTTCAGGAGCTGGAGGTGGTCGAAGGAACGTAGGATAGTAGCCGATCTTACCAGGTTGCCGCCGTCAGGGAGATCGAGGTCGTTGTCGTCGTAGCCGCCGCAGATCGCCGACGCCGACACAGGTACAGGTAGGATGAGATGGGAGAGTTATCGAGGGCAACATTTGGACCGGGTTCCTCTCACGTAGGTAAACACAAGGGCATTTTGGTCATGTTGTTGTGGGCCAGTTGTGTTAGGGGCAAATCCTCGATCTTTCAGTAAAGATGTAGCAAATCTTGGGTTACAGCCAAAACAGGGGCAAATCCTCAAACTGCAAAATAAGGCGTGGCAAATCCTCAAATTCCCCTCGAATGGTCTGAGTCGCAGTAGTGCATCCAGCGACCAGAGTTCGACTCTGCACTCTCGTGGAAAAGCTGGATTTTTTCGACTGGAGGAGCAATTCCGGCTTTATCCAGTCGTGGCGATGCCGGATCCCGCGACGGCGCCGACGCCGACGCGAGCCACCAACCTCCCCGGCTGCGCTTCCGCGAAACCCTCGGAGAAGGCCCGGAGAAATTCTCGGAGCAGTAGGCCCGCCGCTCCAGCACTTTTCCTCACCGCCGTCGCCATCAAGGTCTCCCCCATCCGTTACTCCTTACTCTCTTTTTCCCTGCACCCATCATGCGTATTTGTACTTGTGCTACACCATCATGCGTATTTCTTTTTGCTACTCCATCAGATCAGAATCGGCAATTATGGACTCATCTCTGTTGCATATGGTGTAAATTTGTGCATTGCATATAATTGTGTCAGAATTGTTGGTTTCATTTGTATGCTAGAGCTAGCTGACTCTGAATATATATTTTCCTGCTGTTTGATTTCGTTTGGCAGGATCAGTCGGGGGATGAACATCAAGAGGACTGAGCGGACGATTGATTATGAAGAGGAGTAGTTATTTACTCGGTGAGAGGAAGGACTATTATCTAGTGGAGACAAGGTGCATGGATATGTATGTCCCGGCCCTCTATTGCTGTTCTACTGTACCTAGCCTTTTCTGTACTGAACATTGTTATCTACACGTACACGCGGTGAATTATGGTTTTTATTTCTCATAGGAATTTCGATTTTAATTGGTCAAAGGACGAAAAGGATAGGAATGTCTCATTAATTACGAGGACGAGGTTGAATCGTTCATCCTACCTTAGCAGTCAAGTGGTGCTCTTGTATTTATAGCCAGAATTCACAATGTATTCAGCAATCCACAGTAAGGCTGTTGGCATTTCTTGGATAATGAACCAAGAGTAGTGAAGTTCCGTGAAGCTGCAGTATTATTTAACCTCAAAGTTCAGCTAATAATTCATTTAGCATAGAAAGGCTTGGCGGTTCTTGCGTATTAAGATTAACATTTAGCTAGTAATTTCAATTTGTATTGCCAACAGAAGGGTGGTTCTACTTCTTTGCTTTTGCTATTCTAATACACAGAGTAGAGAGTGAGCAAGCAGAGTAGAGAGAGATCAGATGACTAATTCAATTTAGTCCGATCCTTGGACCATGTCATGTTATGTTGTTATGACAATACGATGTGTCTGTGTTGTTTTGTCAACACAATCACATGAAGTTTAGATGGTGTTGCACTTGATTTATCTGGCATTTTCATGTGTCACTGTCTCCAGTTTAGTTTCAGGTTTCAGATAACAAAGCAAACGATCTGACTCACAAGAGCTTTTTGTTTTAGCACAGGGAAATCTGACTTACTGGCTGTTATCTGAAAGAAAATTCCCTCACCACTACTACTTCTCACATAGCAACGGATATCTACCTAGCTTTTTCCACTAGAGCAAGTGCCACTCGCTGCTCATGACCACTTCTCTAAGAGCAGGGAAGATCTAGATAGCTTTTGCTCTGTAGCAAAGGGCCAACAAGAATCCATCTCTCATCTCTCGGCCCCATTCAAGGTAGTTCATCACACCACCTTGACTTTTCTCTCTCTGAAATTGATGATGTCCTCAATTTTGTGTGCAGTCTTCTTGTTGCAAGCCACATTTTTCCTTTAGAAGGAATTGCTGCTGGTCTCCAGTTACTGAATCTCATCATCCTTCTTTTTAGCATGGGATTGTTCATCTGAAGGAATTGTTTAAACTAGTAATAAAGATGACTAATTTTGTTTGTATTCTTGTTTTCAGTACCAGCTCAAGTGCGACTGAACCCTGCCACTACTTCCCAGAGAACAAGAGCAATCTATCTAGTTTTACTCTAGAACAAGGGCCAACCAAGACCCGTCTCTCATCTCTGCGGTTGATTTTCAAGGTAACTTAATTGATTTCAGCTCCACCACACTTGCTCTATCTATTTTTTTTTCCTCTGAAAGAGATGATGATCTCCTCCTCAGTTTTATTTCAAGGCAATTTTTCCTGTTTGCAAGCCACATGGTTCGTTTAGAATTTTTGCTAGTCTCTAGTAAGTGATCTTCATTATCCTTGTTTTTAGCATGTGATTTGTTCATGTGTAAAAGGTGGTAACCCACGACTAATTTTTATTTGCATGCTTGCTTCGGTGTTTCCAGAACCAGGTCAGGGGAGAAGGAACCCTGGAACAAATGGCGGGATTTTTGGATGTTTTAGCATCCAATGTCAGCAACATGCTCACCGACAGCCAGATCTGTCTCTCATCGCCAGTCCATCGAAGATACCTAACTGATTCCAGTTCCACTACAGTACTATACCTATTTTTCTCTCTCTAAAATTCATGATCACCTCAATTTTGTGTGCAAGCCACATTTTACCTCCAGAAGGAGTTCTCGACTTAGAAGGGAGGCAGCTGGTGACAAGGGATCATGGTTCTGTCGGTATGGACAAATCATATGATAAGATAAGGCGTGAGCCTCGGAGTTATCCTCGTTATCCTTATGCTAAGTGAGTGCAACAAGGAAGCTCCAGGTATGGCTTATGCTAAGTGAGTTCTCCGAGGTGGCCTTATGCAAGTTCTACTATCTGTGGCACCCCCGGCCTCCATGTATGGCTTGGCCCTCCGCCACTCACTCAGCGTTTGTACCTCCAGAACTATTGCCAATCAATAAGGTTTTTGTGACTTGTGAGATTCGAAAAAAAAGGGCGACAACGCAAGACCAAATCTTCAAATATGTGGCATGCCATACTTTAGAGCGCGCAAACAACCAAATATACCTTTAATGATAAGAAAATATGTTTTCACGGTACAAAGCACATGTTTCGATTTCCCACAGGAAGAGACTGCGGTTTATTTAAAAGCGACGGATGCAGACAAGAAGGGCTCAGTAACACGCCTTCCGAGTACCAGAAATTCAATGGTAACAATAACCCGGTGAAGTATATTTCAGATAGGATCACAAAATGCCAGTGACGAGAAGGGCTGGATCAGTTTAGTCCATCGTGGCAGGGAGGTAGACGGGGTGGAAGCTTTTCATGGTGAGGCCCCTCCAGCAGGTAGGGCACCTGTTCTGAGCCTGGACGGAGAACTTGATGCACTTGTCGCAGAAGATGTGGCCGCAGATAGTCGATGACGCATCGTCGCATCGACCAGCTCGTCAAAGCAGAATGGACAGGTGAACTTTGGTTCCTTTGAGACCTCCTTATTAGCAGGTGCACGGTTTGCCTGCGTTGCCATGGGTAGCAGTGATGAGCTGATAAAACTAGCGTAACACGATGCCGGTGAAGTCCAGTGTGCAGTTCTTACCAAGATGCTGTTCGACACTTGCGAGTGGTCATCACTAGAGTTCATCCCCAGAGATAGTACTGTGCTCACAAGCTCGTTGGTGGTATCCCCTGGAAAGAAAGCAACACAAACTAAGCTAATAAATGAGAAACTTGATTTACAGGGCACACTAGCATAATTCTGCAAGACTGAATAGCATATATAACATCATACTCCCTCCGTCCCAAAATAAGTGTCTCAACCTTAGTACAACTTTGTACTAAAATTAACATAAAGTTAAGACACTTATTTTGGGACGGAGGGAGTACTAAACAAAAGGTAAATTAAGAGTCTGAAGGAAGATAAGTAATGCTAATTTCTGGTAATGGATCTTTAATCTTCAAATTTTACTTAGAGCACTTTCATCATCGTATTAACAGCAATTCAGTGCATGGCTTTTCTCAAGCATACAAGCATGTGTTCTTTTCAGCACATAAGTAGTAGAAATTTGTCAAACATATTGCTAGCAATTGGATTTGCAGGCTAGAACAGGTAGGGATGCAAACAGGGCAGGCTAGCGGACAATAGCATAGTACAAATTTAGTGTTAATTTTAGGCAGGTGATGAGCAAATTTGAAGCTAATTGATAGTTTCAAGGGACGAAGCTGGCTTCCGCTTGCACCCGTACCTACAGACTACACGATGGCTACAGAATTATATCAAGTTAAGGCACACATCCAGAAGGATATATGAGCAGAAGCTCAGTGAAACATTATATGCAAATTGCAGCGAGGTACGGGTGCCGGCACTCTGGATGGAGAACCAGGACTGCACCGGATGTTGTTTGTCACAACTCACAAAAAAATTTGAACGATTTGTAGTAAGCACCTTGGGTGACACGAGCATAGGCAGTGGAAGATGCTCTCTGCCTCTCAGTCTGAGCAAGCGAGGTCGTGACAGCAAACTCGAAATGTGGATGAATTGGTTCATTCGTCATGTTGTAGTACTCCCTCTGCCGAAACAACAGGAGATTTCATCATCAGGAAAAACGATGAGACAGCGATTTACCTTCCTAGTCAAGAGATGGCACACCTTGTTTGGGTGTTTCTCAAACAAGACTTTCTCGACCCGCCTAGCAAGCTCCGGCAGCCCCCGCTGCCAGTCAGCAGGTACCCTCAATCCTTTATGTAATCTCGCAGTTACCACCCTTTCTGCATGCTCCAATCTGGAAACTCAAGAACAAGGAAATATATATATGATCAAATGAAGAAAGTTTTCAAGTTCTCCCACCCCGCGCGTTTCGAAAATTATGTCAAACATGACCTTGCAAAATAAGGGAAGGTTATCAACCTCGGTGCCGTGTGAAAGTTGATTCTACTATTCAGAGCATATATACACTTGAAACCCATGACCGAATAACTAGCGAACACCACCACATCCTACATAATTTTCTACGGAGATATATACAAATAGTAAAGCGCTTACATCCTCTGGCGGTAATTGTTGCGCATCGCCACTAGCATGGGATCGCCGTGGCCCATCACCTCCTCCAACTGCTGATGCTGCGGCGGTGGCATGTCGCCGCTCCCAATGCCACTGCCGCCAAACAGATTCATCCGCGCCGCCTGATCTCGCTCACCTCTGCCGCCAGCCGCAATCAAAACTTGGGGCCAGGTCGTGTGGCGAAGGGCGTTGATTTGGATCAGGAATTGCAGAATTCGGGGCGAGAAGAGACGCAGAACAGGATGAGAACACAGGGAAGAGCGCGAGGTGTTCACAAACACTTTCATTCAGCATCCCTTGCCTTTTGATTACAAGCAAATAAAAACACCAACAAGTGGGCCCACTCACCCCACACACGCGCTTGCCGCAGAGCCAGCTCATACCAACCCAACTTCCTCTTTTGTTTATTTGCTATCCAGATAGCTCCTTGTCGTCGTCTTTGGTTAGGGAGGCATGAGACTCATCGCAAAGTGGCGCTCGAGTACGTCGTGATCTTCTCACGTCACGACATCGACGGATAGGGTTGACATTGGACCTTGACGAACATCACCACCTCGTTGCCTTTGGTCACCATGCGGCGATAGGTGGACCCAATAACACACGCGCGCGCACACACACACACCCTCATGTCCCACAAACTTTCCCATTTTCTTTATTTTTTAGTGGGTGACCTCATTTTCATAGGTGGTAGCATGGGACACGTGACACTTGTCTTCCTTCAGGAGAAGCTGAAAGATCGAGAAGATAGGTCTAGAGGGGGATGAATAGACACTTAACAAGGCAAAGGTGCAACTTTTAATTTTTCTTGTAATTTAAGAATATGTTAGCACAAGTTAAATGGCAACTAATAGAATCTTCACATGCACATCTAGAGTATATGCAACGGATAAAGAACAACATGCAAGTGCAAGAATGTAAAGGGAGGTAGAGATAGGAAGATCAAACGCAATGAATACACGACAATTTTTAGTGTGGTTTCGATAGGTCGCACTACCGTACATCCACGTCGATGGAGACTTCAACCCATGGAGGGTAATGGCTGCGAGAGTCCACAGAGGACTCCACCCATAAAGGGTCCACGAGAAACAACCTTGTCTATTCCACCACTGATGCGGTCACCTACTATAGGTAGGGTCAAGGACCTGTCATACGGGGTCCACCTAGGGCCCCACACCATCGTGGGTTGGTCTCAAGACCACACTCGCGTCCATACGCGAGCACCAGGAAGCTCACTCGGACACCTCTGTTGGAAATATGCCTTAGAGGCAATAATAAAGTTATTATTATTATATTTCCTTAATCATGATAAAGGTTTATTATTCGTGCTATAATTGTATTGATCAGAAACTTAAATACATGTGTGAATACGTAAACAAATACCAAGTCCCTAGTAAGCCTCTACTAGACTAGCTCGTTGATCAAAAGATGGTTAAGGTTTCCTGACCATAGACATGGGTTATCGTTTGATAACGGGAGCACGTTATTAGGAGAATGATGTGATGGACAAGACCCATCCGTTAGCATAGCATATGATCGTTCAGTTTATTGCTACTCTTTCTTAATGTCAAATACATGTTCCTTCGACCATGAGATCATGAAACTCCCGTACTCTCGAGGAATTCCTTGTGTGTATCAAGTGTCACTTTGTAACTAGGTGATCATAAAGGTGCTCTACAGGTATCTCCGAAGGTGTCTATTGAGTTGGCATGGATCAAGATTGGGATTTGTCATTCCGTATGATGGAAAGGTATCTCTGAGCCCTCTCAATAATACAACATCACAAGAAGTTTGCAAGCAAAGTGACTAAGGAGTTAGTTACAAGATGATGTATTACAGAACGAGTAAAGAGACTTGCCGGTAACGAGATTGAACTAGGTATGGAGATACTGATGATCGAATTTCGGGCAAGTAACATACCGACAGACAAAGGGAACTACGTATGTTGTCATAAAGGTTCGACCGATAAAGATCTTCGTAGAATATGTAGGAACCAATATGGGCATCCAGGTCCCGTTATTGGTTATTGACTGGAGAAGCGTCTCGGTCAACTCTACATCGTTCTCGAACCCGTAGGATCCGCACGCTTAACGTTCGTTGACGATGTAGTACTATATGAGTTATGTGTGTTGGTGACCGAATGTTGTTCGGAGTCACGGATGAGATCAAGGACACGACGAGGAGCTCTAAAATGGTCCGGAGGTAAAGATTGATATATGAGATGATAATATTCGGTCTTCGGAAGGGTTCCGGAATACACCGATAATTATCGGACCATCGAAAGGGGTTCCGGAAGGCCGCGGGGAGTTGTTGGGCCTAACGGCCAAAAGGAGGAGAGCACACCATCCCACAAGGGGGCTGGCACGCCCCACCTCCTGGCCGTCATCCCTAGGAAGGAAGGAGGAGGGGCCGTCCCCCTCCTGCCTTTCTCCACGCAAGGAAGAGGGAAGGGGAGGCTCCCTATGGGCCGCCGGCCCCCCTTTCCTCCCCCCATGTGCCAAGTATGGAAAAGGGGGGCGTGCCTTGGCAGGCGCCCTAGGGCAGCCGCCGGCACCCCTTGGGGTGCTCCCTAGGCTGCTTCCCCCCCTCCACCTATATATATGCGAGGAGGACCGGTAGGGGGCAGCACACACCATGATTCACCGAGCCGTGTGCCGACACCCCCTCTCCCTCTAGTTCATCCTCCACTTTAAATCTGTTGTGTTTGGCGATGCCCTGCGGAAATAGTTTCACCATCACCGTCACCACGCCGTCGTGCTGCCAGAACTCATCTACTACTTCGCTCCTCTTGCTGGATCAAGAAGGCGAGGGCGTCATCGAGTTGAACGTGTGCTGAACGCGGAGGTGCCGTACATTTGATTCTTGATCGTAAAAGATCGTGAAGTTGTGCGACTACATCAACCGCTTGATAAATGCTTCCGCTTAGTGATCTACAAGGGTATGTAGATGCTCTCCCCCTCTCATAGCTATGCATCTCCATGGATAGATCTTGCATGTGCGTAGATTTTCTTTTGTTTTCCTTGCAACGTTTCCCAACAACCTCGAGTTCACTTGGCGACCACTCTTTAGTCGGCATGACAACTACCACTCGGACAAGGGAGATGGAGGGATGACGTGGGAGCTGCAATGGTCGAGGAATCCTAAGTCACCCTTAAAGTGGAGTCATGGCTAACGTTACCCGTAACTGCTGTAGTTGTGGTGCTTTATACCTATAACTTCCATAGTAATGAGCATTAAGTGCCCTAGCGACGTGGGGACGTTGGAGCTGCAACGCACTCTATATAAGCCACACTCCTCCTCCTGAGCTGGGGTTAAGAAATCTCTGTAATCACAACCCTCAAGGAAAGCATGCCTCAGAGCACGCGATGTACGACTATTACCTCCACCGAGAGGGGCCTGAACTCGTTAAACATCGAGTGTTACGCCTGCGCCGTAGATAGGCTCTGCCCCTCTTTCGTACCCCTGGTACTCATTGTTAGGATCGTAACCCTAACAGTTGGCACCCACCATGGGGCTAGGCATCTAGCAAAGTTTCACGACGTAGGTGGATCATCATCATGTTGGTCGGCGGCGTAATCCATTTCGGGACACTCAGCTTCATCGCCGACGACTCAGCGTGGCTTTGCGAGACCCCGCTAGACGTGGAAGCGCCGCCTGTCCACGGCGCAGCGCACTTCCATGCATCCTCGTATGGAGTCCTCCTCCAGTAGCCCTCGGCTCCGTCCCGAGTGGCCGCTCGCCTTCCTGCCGCACGCCGCCGCAAGCGTTCCAGATGCTCTCAGCTACAACGCTGGATCAGGCACGCCCTGGCCCTTCAGGCCACGGAAAAGCACGTGGCGCCTCTGAAGTCCGATGAGCCCGCCCTCGACCTCTGTGATGGGCTAGTCGACGGCTCTTTCGATGAGTCCGAGTGCGGGAGCGTCAAATCAACTGCTGAAGTTTTCATGGCAAACAACTCCGAGCGTCATCCGCCCCCGGGATACACGGAGCCCCGGGATGGACACGTGACACTTCACACGGGAAAAACAATGGCGGCGGCAATGACAATTGCGTCCGTGCTCACGAGTCGTACGTCCCTTAAGCTCTCACTCGGGAGCAACGTGAGGAGCTTCGTCGCAGGAACGAACAATTCTTGAACACCCCTGTCACGAGGACGACTCCTGGAGCCCTGGCCATGGAGTCGATGCGCTTGGCCACTTTTGGCCGAACGTGACCGCCTCGAGGGGCTTCAGAATGATCTGGATGACCGCACTCGCCATTAGCCCAGCTCTAGTCGGCACAAGCGCCGGATTTTCCCGAGAGATCAGCCTTGGAAGTATCAGGTCCTCAGTACTCCGCTGCAAAATCTAGCTGCGGCTACTCGGATCGCTGACTCCATACAGCCCTCTAGCTCCACCGCTGGGAAAGGGATCCACCAAATCCAAGTGCTCCTGAAGATGGCGTTGTCGCAAAATGCGGCGGTGTCCCAATCAAGGGATCGCATCCATAATGCGTCGGTGTGGGGAGAGACCGTTCAATCGGCCCACAGCCCACTCGACTCATGGAAGCATCGAGCGTTATCCTCCTTGAGAGATCATTACGAAGACCAAAGGCACGACAGATTAGCGTCGCCCCGGCGGCACGGCGACCATGACCGCACTCTGATGCCCCCGCCGCGTGACGACGCGTACGGGCGCCGGCCTTACGACGACCGATAGATGCATGGCGGCGACCGAAGGCCGAGTCCTCCTCATCACTCGAAGGACGCCTGAGACCCGTCATTTAATGCAAGATCCGTTCTCGCTCAGAACCTGGTCGACAGATGTCGATCTCTAAGGGAAGATCTAGATGCTGAAGCACCGAGTGGTTCTGCACCCTCCTGCCCCGATTGCTTCAGTTGGTACATTCCGAGACTATGTTTTCATGGTCACAAGCACATGTTTGGATTTCCCACAGGAAGAGACTGCGGTTTATTACAAGCAAGGGATGCAGATCAGTAACACACCTCCTGAATACCAATAGTTGAATGGTAATCATAACCCTATGAATAAAATGCCAATAGTTCAATGGTAACCATAAACCTATCTGAACTATTAAT